ATCAAATAAATCAAAAATCCAGATCAATCCCTGGCCACGTAAGCATGACATGGCAATATTTTGCCATCCAAGGAACCAAGCGGGGTTGTGCTCAACGGCAGTTAAGTTGGCGTAAGAAGAAGGGCTTACTTGCTTTGATCCCAGAGTTCAAGGGCTTAACTGCATCAATTAAAGTCTAGGGGCTTAATTGCCATTCTGGGGTTCGTTCAGGGGCTTAACATATGGTTTTGCCATCTTATTAAGGTTTGATATATTATAATATTTAATATATGTTAGATTTAAATTACTTTTAAATAGATATTTTTTAAAAAAGTGAGTTAGATATTTATTAAGGATTTTTTGAAAGTCCAATAGGTATTTATTTGAGAATTTGAGAGAATTTTGTTATTATAGAAATTTTATAATAATTTTTTATTGGAAAAGATTAATATATTTTATTTTTTAAGTGTGAATTAACCTAATTTTTTAGTTTTTTTATAATACTTTATTAAAATGATATAATTTTAAAGTGATTTTCTTTTTAATTTTTTTAGAGATAAGACATATAAGTATTAATTTCAATTAATAAACACTTTTTACAAGAATGATAATGAAATTTTGTTAAAGGAGAAAGGCTTTTATTGGTTTTTACACTTTAATTTTTGATAAATTCCTTCTAACATCTCTAACCTTTCTAACATGAAACATTTTCACCTCTAACTTTAATTTGGGGACCTCATAGTTCCTTATCATAATTTTGATTAGCTTGGATCATTTGTTGAACTACACCGTTTTTTCCATCCAAAGTTAATGTTAAGACTAACACAAGGATAATTAGGGTATTGAAATAGAGGTTGAGGACTATGATAGTCTCAAAATAGAAGTTAGACGTAAAAGTGTGTCTTATTATGTTTAGTTAAGTTAGGATAGAAGGACTTGTGGGGTACAGCCAAGACATGGCCATCTCCTTCACACTTATATTCCGCTGCAGTTTCTTTATCTTCCACGCCATGTTCTTCTGCTCCGTACGTCACAAATAACTAACCAACAATTTATAGTTGTTCTTGTCAATAAGCAGAGTGTGGCACGTATTTTGCAATTTGGTGTATAACACATTATTTTTTAAATGCACACCAAATAATAATAACTCTTTATTATTTAATGATAAATATTTTACAATTTGATATAATTTAAATTAAAAAAAAAAAACCCACACATGCCATAAACATAGACAATAATTCAAGTCTATGGCCTAAATTGGAGAGTGAAAAGCAATTACTGGCTCTGAAGGGTAAATAAAAAAATTTTTTTTTGGTACATTCTGAACGGTATCATAGCTTATTGAGGTCGCTTTCTCTCACGAACAGTCCGTGGAAGCCATAAGGCACCCGACCAGGCAGATTCACGGCAGCCACAATTTCAAGTTCAGGTGACTTGGCATCCATCACCAAGAACCTTGTCTCTTCTGTGTTTTCGTCGTGAACATATGACAGCAGGTAACCATCATCCTCCTCTGCCTCTGGATTATCCGGCTCCTTTGCCACAAAGAAGGGCTCTCCGCCATAGCAACCCGGCCCGTAAATCCTGGTAGCCACCGTACCCCCACGACACTCACCGTTGGACACGTCCAACTTCACCACTCCTGTAAATTTTGGCAATGGATCACCTATTGCTGCATATACATATTTGTTCTTTTTTCCTACGAAAGCAGGATTTATGACCCCAAACTCGAGATTTCTTGTTGAAATTGGGTCCCTTTTTACTAACCCCGTCTTAAGATTGATTGTTACTTTCTCCACCATGGCGTGGATAAGGTCCATTCTCTCTAGGACATGCTCAATGAATAATATATTTGGTGCTATCATGACTACTGTGTTACCGTCGTCCTCCTCCCAGGCATTGATGGCATGCATAAAGTTGAATCCTGGCGCATCAAACCATTTCATCTCGGACTCGTCTTTTGCATAACGAGGGATGAAGCCGAGTCTCGGGACCTTGGTCGGATCATAACCCATCAAAGCACCTTTCCTGAAAATCATCTTCATGGGGTTCATTCCAATTTGTATGTCGGTGAATATGGCATAATTCTTAGTGAGGGCGAAATCGTGGAGGAATGATGGACGTGTCATTGAGAAAATGGGCACATCTGGATGCTTATTTCCGTTTGCATCGAAGTAAAAGTAGGTTAGAAATGGAGACACAGGACCATACCGGAAAGCAAAGGTCTCACTGGTTTCGGGATCGATCTTGGGGTGAGCAGTCAAGCTCCCCAGGAGCTTTCCGTTGAAATCATGGCGACCTAATGTCTCTATATCTCCATTAGATGTCAAGCGCACAGAGTAAGGCAGATCAGACTCACCAAGTGCATAGAGACGGTTGCCAAAGAAGGCCAAACTAGTATTTGCAAGACCGAAGCCATTTGCAGGATTGTATTGGCCGGCTAAGATTCTAGCAACAGACAAGGT